CCCCCCCGGGCACAAATTCCTGCTAAGTGGTGTCAAAATAATATTTCCGTGCATTTGACGACATACTTTATTTTTGTGAAAGATGGTAGAAAGGGCTCAGACAGTTTGGATCAAGAAAAGAGAGCTACAGAGCATTCTGCTGGGGTATTGGGACTTCTCTGCATCTGCAGGTTCAGGATTTTAATGGATGTTTCAGGATGTAAAAACGCTGTTACATGTCCTTGGCATACCATTAACCTTCAGTAAACAGGTGTTGCTTCTTTCCAGGAGAAGAAAAGGAAGGACAATTCAGGCATGGCAGCAAAACAAAGGCCCTTGGAACTTCAGACAAACAAAGTGTATTGGTTATGAGCTTCTTGGTACTTTTGATATGAAAACTCTTCTGAATAATGGTATAGTAGTTAAGTGCTTTTCCGCTAAGCACTGTGCATAGGCGGCATATACTGCAGCTGTCTTCCAATCATCTGAGGCTTCTAGATTAGGGCAGAGTATGTGTGAATAGACCTGCTAGTTCATAGGTCTATCCTCTAGGATAAATAGTGAGTTAAGTCATGACCTGCCTCATGGAAAATGTCCTGTGCTGCTGGGTGCCAACAATACAGTATATGTGACTTGCTGATTTGAAGACAAATAGGGTGAAGCCCAGAAGTTAAATAAAGCAAAAAGCAAACACAAAAATAAACAGGCTCCTTGCCATTTAGATTTAAGGAATGATATAAATGGTGAATGATATAAATGATAATCATAGAGTAGGAGCCTCTAATATTATGCATAAGAATATTAGCATAAGTTTGTGCTCAGAAGGAAGGAAAGCAGGCAATGGAGGAAGAAAGTTTGCAGAAAAATCTTTCCCAAAATGGTTCTTGGAAACCACACAAAGGACTATATAGAGAATGTTCCGCTTTCCAAAGCGGAGTTGCTGTGGAGAAAAGTAGTCATTCTGCATAACCCTAATTTCATTTAGTCTTGACCTATGCTTCTGCCTCTCGCTCAATTTTAATGTTTCTGATTATGTTAAATAATGCTACATAATGTAAGCTAATTGCTGGATAGTCTGTTTTCAGTTAGTATACCCTGAAGTCAGGTCATGATTGCTCACAAATGGGAGACTGTACAGTCCAAAGTACCTGTTTTGCAAGCTCTCTGAATAGCTGGTGCTTTCAAAATACCCTGTTTATTGCCTGAAATAAGACCATGATCAGGGAAAAGAATGCAGCAGTGGAGAAGGCAATGCATACAGTGAAAGTGAAGGTTATTTCAGGCTGATGATTGATTGTAGAATAGGG